CTAATCCTAAACCCTGAACTCTCAAACCTGCATGTCAGACTTCGATAATTACTTCATGATGGGCTCTTGGGCTCTTGCTTTGCTTGCTTGCTTGCTTGCTTGCTGGCTTGTTGCGTGCTTGCTTGCTTGCTTGCTTCTTGGCTGAGCACAAGAAACGGAAAAAAAAATACTAAAATAAACGGAAAAAATACCGAAAAAATAGCGCCACCGATTCCGAGTCTCCGAGTCTGCCGTTGGATATAAAGGACTGCTTTTCCTGTTTGCTAACCAACCTGACTGCTATCGTAATTACCGCAGGGTCCTGCTTATGAAAGGGTTTGGGCCAGGACCCCTTTTGGGAGTAGAACGTACATGACGTACTGGGCATAGAGACAGGGTCTAGTATGAGGCGTGTAGGTCTGCACACACGGAGCATGAAGTGAAGCAACGGTGATACATGCGACATGTTGTTCTCAAGGGTGTTGAAGCAGAAAAACGAATGAGGTGGAAGACATCGTCCCCCTCAAGGGAGTGAAAAGTAACAGTATCAAGCAAAGCCGCGGTCGAAAAGCCGATCGGGTCCGGCTCCTTGCACGGAATCTCACAGAATCACGTTTCGGGTTTGAAGGTTTCAGGATTTGCAGGCTTGGAAAGAATATGGCGTACAACATGACAGTTTAGGATGTACACTGTACAAAACTGCCAGCAGCTCCGACCGCTGGGTCTGGAGGGCTTACGAACAAGCGCCGCCGATCCTTACAGGACTTAATCTGAGAGAATGCGGCCCCTGCAGACACTGACACAGGCGGCAGAGCTTTTGTCCCTAGAAGCCGTTTCTCGATTGGCAGGCTGCCGTTTTTTTGTCATGGCAATCCATGGTATCACTGAGTTTGTAGGGTGTACAAGAGTATAACATGACAGGAGTCGACGCCGGCATTCTTCGCGTCTTCGAAGCCAGCGAGAAAGAACCTGTTGAATATGGCTAGCTGGGTTTCTATGTTTGTCATGTTGTAGGCAACGAAGCATCCGAAGAACAAACGCACTGCTTCTTCGAATCTACGTGCGGGGAGCCCATGAATGACTACGGCAACGGCAAGGGGCTTAGGGTTTGAGCTTGCGGGGTAGGGGTTTACGCAAAACCCCCCAGTGCGTGGTATGCCGTAAAACGCACTGCCGGAGTAGCAGGCCCTTCTCAGTCTAAACTCTGTGCCTCGCCTCAGGGTAAGCTGCCACTGGAGGCCTCGCTGTGAGATAGTCTGTCAGGTTTCTTAAATAGCCTTTGTGTGTTTATAGTGATTATAGTGTTGTTGTTCTGACGCCAAACTGAGGACGCAGTTCGCCGGGGAACTATAGCCTTGAACCTTGAACCGAATGGATGAAGCTGGCAAGCACTGGGACTTCCTCGAAGTACCTTGAACCCTGAACCCTAATCAAACCCTATAGCCCTGTATCTTCAACCTTGAACCCCACTTAACGCAATGAGCTTTCCAACAGTCCACTGCGCGGTAACCGCGTTTAGCATCCGCTGATTCGAGCCAGTGGGACTGCGCTCGCAAGATACTAGGACGGTTTAGGTACAGGAACTGTACGGTATCTACCGTCGAGCTGTTTACAGAAGCCGAAACTCAACATCACCCGAACACTCGCAAAGCTGGCATCCCGCCTGAGCTGGCCGCGCTTGCTGCAGAGTTGAACCTATAGAGGGAAGCGGCGATGAAGGAACAAGGGCAAATGATGACAAACATAGCAATAAATGTTTGTACAAACGAAAAGAGCACGTCGTCGGTGTGTGTATGTATATATATATTATATATATATATATAATGTATATTAGATATATACATATATAATAGCAATGTCCCAAACCCTGGATCCCAGGTGCGTGATCGCTGAGGGGGTGCCGTTGACGCGTAGCTCTGCCAAGGCCGAGGCGGCCAGAGCCCATCTTCCTCCTGCTGGTGGCTTACGCTCTCATAACTGGGCCAAGCCAGGCGAGGTTCCATAAGTTCGAGCCGGCGTGATACTGGAAGCAACCCGTGACCATGACAAAACAAGAAGCCATTCACAGCCTAAAACAAGAGAGCCAGTAACAGCCTAATCTAGGAAAGACATGACATGGTCAGGACTTCGGCAAAGCTACGGGTATTCACACGGGTTTCGCTAGTGTGTCCCTCCGAAGGAAGCAACAAACGTTAACCAGATCTAAAGGGAAAACCCAAAAAGAAAGGATACTGTCTCAAGTGCAGAACTTCAGTGCAAAGCCTTAGCTGCCCAGTCGAGAGGGAAGATCAGCCATCAGGGTTCAGCATACACAACAATGGCGACTCTCATTGCAGAAAATCTCCTCAATCTGCCTTTTCTTTGACATGCTGAGCCAGCCCCTCCCCACCCGTAGGAGGCTTCCCCTTCATCATCTGCTTGCAAGCTCCATATGCTCTGCAGGCTAAGGGCACAAGGAACTTCCGGATCTTCCGAATCGTCTCCGTTCCGTGGCTTTGCTTGCTGCCATCTTGGTACATCGAGGGACTGGCACGGCAAAGAAGTTCCCTCAGCAGTGTCGCGAGGCTCGGCGATCTGGCAAGGTATCGCATCTCCTTGGTATGCTTGTAGAGGGCTCTACTGTAACAGATGCCCATTTCCGCTGACCTCAGTCCAAGTTCCCAGGGTGCTTTCATGTGGCAGCTGCCAATGAAGCCAGCTCATAGGAGCAATCGAGAGAGTCCAGACATTCCAGATTTCAGATTGCCACTTTCAGCATCCATTCATTCCAGAGAAAGCCAACATTTCCAGTCTGGGGAGGGGTATTAATGTTAAATATACAGGGAATAGTTGGCGGGTTCACAGTCTCGGAGGAGGTTACTGTCGTTCCCAAAGAAGTGCACCGCGGATCAGAGCCGCGCTGCAGGCGCACTTTCAGCTAACCACAGTACATGCCTTGACCCGTTCTTAGGGATTTAGCGAATGTAGCATCTTAAGGCCTTGGGGGCTGCCGGCTCTGTCTCGTCACTGCTCTCCTGCTTCAGCGGCCGCGATCGCCGCATTGTAGCTGATCCTCCGCTGATGTATTATATATATATACATATTATATATATGTATATATATATATGTGTATATATATATATTGTACTGTGTTTTTGTATACCATGTTATGGTAGGAGAATAGGATCGTGCGTTACAGTACATCGGCTGCTGAGGCTCAGAGCTGGCAGTGAGCACGTCCTCACGATCATTGCTAGATCATGCGCAGTTACGGCTGCCAAATTGGGGCCTTGAGACCAATGCAAGCACGTGTATATATACGTGGTATGATATGTTATGCAGTAGTATGTTATGCTATCTTATAGTGTATTATCCTATACCATATACTGAAAATACAATCATCAACTCTGGGCACCGTGCATGATCTACGCTCGCAGTCGCTTGCATACAGCCCCGAGCCTCTGCCGTGGCCCACATCGAACTCTGACAAACAAGCTCTCAGCAGATATAGGCAAAAATCGTGAACCCCAGAAACTCAAGAAGCACAGATTTATCCTATTTACTCCGATTGCTGGGCTACGCTTGCAGACCAGAATGACCAGAACCCGATGGCATCCAATGCAAAAAAAAACTCCAAACAAACTCTTCGAAGCGTTCCATTGTAGATATTTGATTCGGCCCCAAAAGCCTCGAACCAAAAACAACCTAAACCCTAAGCCCTTCATATCGGGAGCTCAGGCCGAGCATCACATCAGGCCGGAGCCGGCAATCGTTCATCCGGCAGACCTGACTCAAAGAAGTCTGAAGAGGATAAAAAGCCTAGGAGCTTAGGGCTTTTATGTTTTACATAGGCCTATAGGGGAGAGAGAAGTCGGCGGAGGCACATTTTGCGGTAGCGTCTTGATTCTGCAAGCTTCGACAGCATTGGCTGAAAAAAAGTCTACAAGACTTTGGAATCTTGTCTTGTCTTGTTGCTGCACCTAAGGCAGGTGAGTAACCTGGTCGCTCTTGTCATCTTCGGACTCTGTAGCAACAGAAACCGGGCAAGATGTGTCTCACGAGACTTCGACGAAAGGCTGGTCACCAGAAAGATTACATGACATGCAGGCCCAATCCGGCAATCGAGGCTACCTGCACTTCGAATGATCATGATCAACTACCCTAAAGCCCTAAACCCCTGGGGCAGTGGGGCAGGTTTGCAGGGACCATATTGCAGTGACCCTGAGACGTCAAAACCGTGCTGGCCTGCGCCAATGCCTTTGGCCAACTCAAGGCGCTGCTGGCATGGATCCTTTTTTTTTTGAGCCGGGACTGCAATGCACTAACATGGATCCTGAAACAGATGTTTGTAGGGGGTTTTGGGCTTAGGACGTTTCGGATGTGGGGTTTCGGGTCTCTGCTTCAGCTCTACCGTAGCTGTGCAGATTGTTCAGGGTACTATTCTTCCGCCAAGTTTAGAATTTTACGCTGGCGGTTGAGGCTACACCAACGGGCTGCCGTGTCTTCATGGGCAATTCGGTTGATGTGGTTTGGGAGAGATGGGGGTGGGCTAGGAACGTGGTTGCCGGCTTGCGACACCACTGTATTTCAGGTCCCCCTGTAACGCAGCTGTCGCTTCCATGGCTGGCATTGTCACTCTCGTTCTCTTATAATATTCTTATTTTACAGCCGCAGGTTCACAATCAGCGGCCATACCAAGTTAAGGATGGAAGGCTTAAAGTTGTAGGGTTGAGCGCTCCTGTGGCATTCAACTAGCAAATGTCTCCCCAAGGCAACTGCAAAGTTTGATGCCGCAGGAATTTATCACTAAGGCCCCTTGCCCTGAACTCACCGTCTGTCCTTGTCTCCCTGTCCGTCTCGCTCTCTTCTTCAACACATTCAGAGGGAAAGCAATGTGCTCCCCCTCGCGCGCTGTCTCGCTCTCTCTCTGTCTCTCTGTTCGATTTTGTTCTTTCTCTCACCCGCTCTCTCTCACTCATGTTCATATCTGGAGCTATATACAGTCTATATCAGGGAATATGTGGGGAAACATCATGACACACACACACACAAAGACCCCCACACACACACACACACGCACATGCAAAACCACAGATAGACAAACAGATGGATGGATAGACATAGATAGACATCTTGATCTCGAGTTCAGCTCGACCTCGTCCAGGCTAGGGCAGTTGCAGGCGACGTCTGTGTCTGTGAGAAGCACTTGTGAAAAAAGTATGGCTTTCTCCCCAGCCTGGATAAGAACATATATGCTAAGTGTGCGTGAGTGTGCGTGCGTGCGCGCGTGTGTATAAGTATATGTGTATACATACATACATATATATATATAGATAGGGTATGTATACATATATTTAATAATGTGTATATATGTGAATATATATATATATGTATATGTATATGTATATGTACATATGTATATATATATATGTATAATTTGTTGTTTATTTATTTTGTTAGTTTATACCTATCTATCTATACATACATACATGAATGCCCTCCCACCCCTTCGAGCCTCCTGTGGCGTGGCAGACAGGTGGACAAGACACACTTGTATCCATGCATACGTACATACCATTACATACATAAATATAAGATGCAGGGCACTCGCCCCCCTTTCTCCCCCGTCCCACCTATTCTGTGGCGTGGCAGACAGGCGGGCAAGGGTAGTCTGCTGGTATACAGACAAGGCGCCCTGACGCAGTTCTTGCAATGGCGTGTTTTGGCTTGGGCTGGAATGGATCGCCGCTTCTCTGCACTGAACTGTTCTGACAGCGCACAAGAATAAGAGAAGAATAAGCAGACGACGAACAGATTTGGATAAGTATTAACATACGTGCATGTACATAAAAGTTTTGTGCAGGCTCTTGTGCATCTATGCAGCTATGTAAATAAATCAATAAATAAATAAATATGTATGTATATATATATGGAGATCTATGAAAAGTTAGGTGGAAGCATACATTACATTACATTACATTACATTACATTACATTACATTGCCTACATACACACAGATACATGTACATATTGGTTGTGTGCGTCTAGGTATAGAGACATTTGTGTGAGTGCGAGTGCAAACTCAATGTTGCACCTCAGTCTATGTAGTCATCTATGAACCTATCTATCTTTTTGCTTCTCCATCTGTCTATCAGTCTGTCTCTCAGTCTAACTATTCATCTATCTATCTATCTATCTATCTACCTACCTGTCTACCCGTCTATCCATCTATCCACCCTATCCATCGATCCATCAATCGATCGATCGATAGATCTACCTTCTAATCTATCTATCTATCCATCTACCCATCTACCCATCCATCCATCTATCTATCTGTCTATCTAGCTACCGATCGATCGATCTATCCATCCATCTTTCGATTTATCCATCTATCTATCTATCTATCTATCTATCTATCTCTTCATGTAGCTATCTCTACCTAAGCTGCTCCAATTTTATCCATGCATCTGAAGGTCCTTAAACATAAATATGCAAGGAACTTGTGCATACAACTCGTGCGTTTCTTGTCTTCTCCCTCCTTGTCTCTGTTGCGCCATCACGTAAGATGAGAAGCAGAATGTTTCGACCAATCAGGTCGAGTTCCATGCTGATGTCGAGAAACCAAGATCCTTCAAACACAGACAGAGGGGTTAGGGCTTTATGCTCTCATACTCGGACCAGCCAGATTAAGAGTGCTGGGGTGTGGGATTCTGGTGCTGTGCTACAGCTGTGAAAAATTGACAACTTGCCGCTACGGATCGCATCCTCGCCTGTGGCGAGGGCACAGCTCCAAGTCGACGCGACTGCGGCCGCGCCGAGGGCAGCGTTTACCGCAGCCGTGTCGCACTGAACCGCAAAGTGGTGCCTAGGATTCGGGATGCATGCATGTGGGGCGAACACACTTTCCAAGGCAAGGCTGAGGCGATTCCCGGAAGTGCTCGGACTAGCCTTCATGACCCAGCTCCATACCTGCCTGCAGTACCTGAAATTGCAAGCCCCGAAGCCAAAACACTGTTCGAAAATGCATGATCTTGCTCTGCTGAAACTTAACTACTTAAGCTCCTGCAAAGGTCTTCCGAAGTTTAGCTTGCAAACTCGGGTGCGTAGCAAGAGGCCAACCATGTTTGCTCAGATAGTCGTACCGACTTGAGTCATTGAGTGTTTAGCAACATGGTTCTGCAAGGATTCTATTCACGGCAAAACGGGTTTGACAACTACGCGAGGATGATCCGAGAAACAGAACCCCAATGGCGATCTGTTCAAGCTCCACACCACACACAAACACCACCGTACTTCCGGAAGTGATATCTAAACCAAGCAGTCTTCCTGCAGGCCGCAATCTTCGAAAGACCTAATTTTCCGGAGGTCCCACATGATGAAATCTTCATGTGCCCCGTTAGAACATACAGGCCCTGGCATTTACAGGTAGATCCTAGGTGCAGGTCGGCGAGCAGCCCCACACTCCGCGACCATGCTTTGGCGACCTGCAGTGGGACACGGTTTAGGATTTTGAGTCAGGGCTCAGAGGGTTTAGGGCTTAGGGCCGGCCACTATGGTGATGCGTCACGGTCAGAGGAAGGGCTTGCGTGTTTTGCCAGGGCTGGATATGGGTAGTAGCTTTTTACATGCATGTGTATGTATGTCTGTATCCATCACACACATATGCATATATATATATACATATACACTCATGTATACATACACATGTGCGTTAATATTACAGAGAGAGATAAACAGAAAGAGAGAGAGAGAGAGATAGATATATATATAGATGCATAAAGATATAAACAGATTATGCGCATGTACACGCAAGGTGGACACGCATCCAGAAATCTCTGCTAGCAGCATCTGCCACAACAGCTCCGGAAAAATGCCCTCGGAGAGGCGTGCATGCGGTTAAATCCTACAAACGCCATAATTTTAATCGTCCTTAACTCACAGGTACAATCTGTTCTTTTGTCATTGTTTCCTAGGGCTTTGCCACCGTGCACCAAGCCCTGAATCCTCAACATCCCTTCACCTGCTGCAAAGGCACCCTGGCCAACCAGCTTTGCCTTACGAAACCTCGAAACCCCAGAACTGTAGAGAATTAACATACAAGCGGAGGGATGATGGAGCTATAATGTAAAATTCAGTAGTTGAAGATCCGCAAGCACCAAGCCGTGTCAATCCGTTCTCTATTTTTTTGCATCCAGCCTGCAGGAGCCTCTGCTAATCCGTTCTCTATAAGCTGAGGAACCGGCAGGAACTGCGGCTGCACAGGAGAAACTCACCTGGTCTCCGTCTCCAGTCTTTCGTGGAGGGTGACTGGACGCGACTAGTCTGCTAAGGCATGCAGAGGAAAGTAGGCGCGGCCCACACCAAACCCTAAACATCCCCAAACTCCCCGCGCTTTGTTGACAGTGAAGCCGCGACTGTGCAGCCGGTATGCCTGCGCTTTACTGGGGGGGTCCATCCCGAGCTGTGCACCCCAACCGACTTCTTCGGTATCAGGGTACCGGGTAGAGTATAGTCTAGTGGGGTTTGGTTTAGGGTGAGCATGCGCTCGCAAATTGGGGCGGCATGATGGCCCGAGGCGGATCTTCAAGAAATAGACCCAAGCGTGGCTAAGCACCTCCACAGTAACAAGATGTCGCAGCTGGGGTGGCGACATACTGGCTATGGAGGATGCTTTGGAAAATGTTTTTTTTATTTGCAGTCGGTGTCTGCAGTGGTCACAAACAATGTGTTCTCCCCCCTCCCTCCGCAAAAAGCTTTCGAGTGCCAGAAAGCAAAGGTTTGCGTCAAGTGCTTGGAACCTGGAACAGTTATTGAAGTTGGTGGGGTGAGATAAACCCCCCACTTCAGCATCTCTCTCGGGGGTCTAAAGTCTTCCGCGTTCATGAGGGGCTTTCCGGCGACGTCGTTCCTGCAGCAGGCAAGGGACACGCCTAGAATGGCATCGGCTCCCAGGTTTGTCTTGTCCTCCGTGCCATCCAAATCCAGCATGATCTTGTCGATACCCTGCTGATCTGTCGCGCCTTTGCCGATGAGAGCAGGTGCGATCTTGGACACCACAACCCCTGTAGCCACCGTCACGCAAGTCAAATTCCTTATTCTCGCCGGAGCCGGGCACTCTTGCACGGAAGACCCCCTGTTCGGTGGTGACTTCCACCTGGATGGCAGGGTTGCCGGAGTCGCAGCCTTGACGGGCATGCACTTTCTAATGCGCACCAATCAGCAAGCGGCCGTGCACACAGCTGCTTGCTCATGGGTGTGCACTGATTGCCCTTTGCTGTCTAAACCAAAACGCCGGAGAACAGGTGCTGTTCTTGCAATAGATTGGGTTGCAGCGGCTAGCGTGTAGATTCTACACCCTGAAGACCATCTCGAGAGAACAACCGTTCACCGCCAAATAGGACACTTTCCCTGAAAGTGATGCAGACGATTCGCAACAAAAATCGTAGACCGAAAGTCAGAAGCCCCGTACTAACACAGCTTAGCCCGATAGACCAGACCCTCAGCCCTATGTCTGAAAGTCCCAGCTCTCAAGCTGCTTTGGTGGATTTGGGAGCTGAGGTACAGTTCCGTGTGCTTTATTTGTCCATCCATCGTCCATCCAACCATCCTCCATCCATACAGACACACTTATGTTTGTTTGCTGCTTGATATTGCTATTTGACGTTGTTGTTGATGTGATTCTGATGTGGTTAACAACATGACGATGACCACTGTCATTCTTTTTAATGATGGCATTAGTAGTATAATATTACTCCTTGCTGCTGCATTCTTTTTCTACTAATACAACAATTTGTGTGTCCGGGCGCAGGGTCGAAAGGTAGCCCTTCAGACTGCAACTTCCAATAAAACGCCTTCAAACGACAGCTCCAGTCGAGTTGCTACTGTAGGTCTCAAGCCCTCTCGCACCAGTTCCTGCCGCACAGTCCCAGGGATTCTAGATTGGGATGTGTAGACCGGATGCTACTCCACGGGGTCATGAGCAACAGGGGCTTGCCAGATGAAAAGACATGGATCCTGGCATTCGGAACAAAGCAATCCCGGAAAAACACTAAACAAATAATAGACCTGACTTTTTTTAAGGACCTTGACTAATTATTCGAGATGGTTTCGAAGAAGAGCCGTGCCTCTCAGGGTTCTGAGCTTGCCATGGCGGAAACGAGTCAGACAGCCACTATACTACTCTTTTCTTCAGGCTTCTCGAGTCAAAGTAGGATCTTCTTGTAATTGCTACCATATATCTTAGATCTGGCGAATCTCTAAAACCTCCTCTGTGGACTCAGACGAGACATTCGCACTCGTCGCGGCTGGCGTCTAGCTTTTTAAGTCCCAAGGTCTGGGCTACTTTGGGCTCCATGATAGGAGTGCGGACGCCGCCTTCAGGAGCAGGCAACTTTGCTGCCAATGCCATGTTGCCGCGGCTGCAGTCATCAGCGCATTGTAGGCCTCTGCAACAGTGACGACTGGAGCTCGCTCGCTTTTGTTGTCTGCTTGAACCTTCAGGGCCAACGCGCCAGGCCCATATCAATGCAGACGGCCCAGACGGCACAGATAAGCTCTTTGGGGGCCCTGGACACCTCTCGAACACTGAAATCCTCAATTACCCATCTGGTGCGCGATTCCTTCAGCAATTCCTGCATCATTGCCATCGCGCAGAAGAACGTAGCAGACAAACTGTGATCAAACGAAACCTGAATTCTTGATTATACTCCTGGTTAACCTTTTGGAACCAAAGCCCTGAATCCCAAACTCCTCACTCCCCTCAACACGAAAGCCCACCAAAGTGAAGCCAAGAAGCAAGAACCTCTGCATCCCCAGCAGCCAGAGAAATTGACGAAAGCGCCCCACGCCAGCGGCTCCCTTTCCTCCACAAACTTGCTTTTGCGATGGCGCGATGGCTTAGACTCTCTAGCGTCCAGGGTTTCGAGTACCAGGGCAGAGGATTGTGCTGCATATGGGTAGCTAGGAGAGTCTAGGTCCAATTCTTTGGTGTTGCGATCGCAAGTTATTCAAGGATTCGGTATGCTACACAACCATCTGTTTCTGCACAAGCGCGTAACAAGGGTTAAGAGTGAAGGGAGCTGTTTTCTCCGCATGCCCGCTCATGGACACTGTCGGAATACTCCATGTCTGCACGGGGTGGATGTCAGTAAGAACAAAGGCACGAACTTAGCAGCTAGCGACAGCTAGTGCTGCAGACATGAGCAAAGGAACATTTCAAGCAAAGGAACCACATGGAGCATTCAGTGCAGTGTCGCATCCTGTGTATGTAGAAGTCAACAGAGAAAGATATATACATGCATACATACGTACATACATCCATCCATCCATCCATCCATGCATACATACATGCATACATACATGCTTACATAATAAATACATCAAGCCATGCACTCATTGTCACTGGCATTTAAAAATGTTGCCTACAAACATGTATGTATACGTCTGTATGCGCCCATGTGTGTATATGTGTATGTGCACATACATACATACATACATACATACATACATACAAGTACATATATATATATAGATCATATATATATATATATGTACACACATATGTATGTACGTAAATGCGTGTGTGTGTGTGTATGTATGCATGTGTAATTGATATGTAAGTATGTACGCGTGTCTGTAAGCATGTTGTTGGTAACCTGCATGTACTCACACACGCACACACACACACACCTTACATACATATATATATATACATATAGATAGATAGATAGATAGATAGATAGGTTTATAGACGGCGTATATATATATATATACATATATAATACACACA